ACTGTAGGGTTTTTGTAGATGCTGGTGATCTGATTGAGGAAAATTCATTTCTTTTATAACATGTTCAGTGTTATTATCCTGAATGTTTGTTGAATGTTGCTAGATGCTTTGTCCACCTCAGGTACTATGATTTTTCATCATTTTCAGTCTTCTAGCATAGTAAGTTGAATTGACAGATTTGGGGATGTTGAACAATCCTTACATTCACAAGTATGAATTTCATTTGATCATGATATATCTTTTATCTATGCCATTGTTTTGAGCAATAGCATTTGGTTAGGATTTCTGCTTTTAGGTTTATAAGAGATACTAGTCTAGAGTTTTCTGTGCTTCTTATTATGTTGTTGGTATTGAGTAAATATTGGTGTCATAATAATATGTTTGATGTTGTTCCTTAAATTTTATCACCTTATTCTTACTGGCTTGAATTTTTGGTTTTTCAAGTAAAGGTTGGTTCAATACAAGATTTTGGTCCTCCATTCCTTACCCTAAATTTTCATCAGTCCTTATAAACCTGTACTAGCAGATGGGAATCTATCTTTGTGCTCTTCCCATTTTGCCACTGTTAATATTAGGTACTAGGCTCCCAATTATTCAGTAAATATTGGCCAGAGAAGCTTCAATATTTGGGGGTGCCTTTAGGCCTAGACCTTGAAAGTTAGAGCTTTCTCAGTAGTCTTCCCTCTCACAGTGGCAGGTAACCTCCAAGGTGAGTCTCTGAGTGATCTTTGGAAGCTAGCTATTGCTCACTTTATACCACAAAACACATACACACACACACACACACACACACACACACACACACACACACACACACACCGAGAGAGAGAGAGAGAGAGAGCGAGAGAGAGAGAGAAGAGAGCTCAAAGCCTATCCCCAGGGAAACAGTTCCCCCAACAAGGCCATACCTCCTAATTTTCCCCCAAACAGTTTTACTCCCTGGTGACTAAGCATTCATATATGTGAGCCTATGGGGACCATGGCACCACAGAGTTCATCGGCCTTTGATACTTAATACAGTTATATAGTAAACTGAGAGAAAGCTAGGACCCTTAAGATATCTAGAGATTTGTCATTGTTAAGTTTGTTAAATTATTAATGAGATTCTCTTATGCCTTTTTACATCTTAAGAGAAAGTACTTCTGGTGCTTTTTAGTAATGTGTGCATGTGTTATTCTTGATATTTATATTAAACACACCATAGAAGCAGGTGTTTCCTGAAGTATATTTGTAGAGTTGATTTTTGTATAACAGTTATTATATGTTGTGCCTACATTTTTATTCTTTGAATTATTATAGATTAAATTTGTATTTTAAAGTAGCATATATTATATGTGAACTTTATTGCATGGATTTCTTCGTGGTTTAACATATATTCAGGTTCTTATAGCCACTACACTTGAAAGTCAGTATTGCATCACCACTCCCCATGATTTCCTTGTGCTGTCCTTTTAAGTCTACACTCTCTCCCATCTGGAACACTGGAGATGTTGATCTTTTCACTATCGTTACTCTTCTATTATTTTGAAAATGTCAGATAGATTAAATCATACAGTGTTGTGGTGAACAGGTTCTAAGAGACCCACTCCACTGCAGAGCATCCTTCCCTTGTGTGCAGGCTACAATTTGTTTGCAATTAGCATAATTTGGGAAAGATGATGAGATGTCACTCACTACCTTGCTTATATGAGACTGTCTTAGTCAAATGAAGGAGAAATAGGAGAGGAGCAAGGAGGGAGGCATGCTAAATGCAGAACTAGGTACAGTAGTCTCTTTTAAGTTTCAGTGACTCAGCACATCCTGCTTTAAGATTAACTATTTTGCTTAGCTATTCATCCCACACACAGGTATAGAACAATTTTTATTTGCAACGAGGGATTTTCAATGTGTCTTGGTGATTACAAACATTAACTCTGGAGTCAGAGTACCTAGGTCCAAATGTCCTATGCCAAACACACTGTGGACATTCTTATAAACATCCCTTAATCTCTCTAATGCCTCATTACAAAATGAGAATGCTGAAAATGCTCGCTCCATTTTGTGTGGTTATAACAGAGTACTTGAGACCAAGAAATTTCTTCACAGTAGGCAAATATTTGGATCACAGTTGTGCAGGCTGAAATATCCCAGAACTGAGAGGCCATATCTGCCAGGGGCCTTATTATTATTTCATAAGGTCACAAAAAGTAGCATACAGTAAAAGAGCAAACAAGAGAAAAAGAGAAGGGGGGCCAAGTTCATCTTTTGAATGGGAACCCACTTCCACAATAAATAAACCACTGCTGCAGTGTGGTCGTAATAGGTTCACTGAAGTTTTAATCAACACATAAAGATCTTCACCACTCAACACTTAGCAGTAAGGATTTGAATTTTCAAAACATGAACTTTGGTGGACATGTTCAAACTCTAGAGCTTTTCTGATATTTTGTAATGCATGTAGATGATTTAATAGACTACCTAGTTTATGGTGATAAATCACTGGCATCTATCCTCAATACTAATACTATTAATTTTTATATAGAATGAAATAAGTTATTATGTACTTTTTAGTGAGTTATCAGTCAAATACTACTACTGTTGCCTGGCAAGTAAAAATTATAGGCATTATATATGATTTTTGTATCTACTTCATAATAATAGCACTAGTATAATTATAGCATTTATTAGTAGTGATCACTCTTCACATCCTTCTGCAAAACAACAAAAGAGAAAGTATATCCATGGAATTGGTATAATATTGACTGATTTGTGCACACTATAGAAAATAGACACAAAAGTATAGTTTTAAATATAATAACTATATTTTATGTGCACTTGGGCATGTAAATGAATAGGTAGAAAAATATTATAAAGTATATAATCAAATAATCCTCTTCATTGAAATAAAGTCATATATAACACATCGGCCCAGTAATCCTCTTTAGGTTAAATAATACTTAGTATTCTGCAAGAATGATTCATTTTGGTAGCTTATTATAAAATTAACTATTTTTCTGCTGCTACTCAAAAGTGACCGGAAAATACAGAGATATAGCTAAAAAACAAGTTCACTGTTCCATAAGCTGACATCAGAATGAGGTAGTCTTGTTAAGGGCTTAAGATCATCCATCTCTAGTGAGCTACATCATTTTTCTAATTCACTTCTTAGTTTAGAATAGCTTTCCAAACTGTATCTATCTATTGTGGTCAATTTCTAGTGAACATGAAAAGTAGTGAAAGTGAGGCAGAGAACTCAGACAAGCAGTTTGTCTACTTGTGGTGGCATTTTCTTTAGAATGTTCACAGCTGTGCAGTTAGACAAATGAAAAGACATCAGTAAAAATTGGAAGAAAAATCCTTCATGTGGCAGGGAGAGTGCTACATGTTCACCAACTCTTCATTTTCCTCCTGAATCACAAGGAAAACACATTGCCCAGGCTCCACTGTAGTCTGCCCTCTAGACCTGAGTTCTGGTTAGAGGACAGCCAGGATATTTGCAGACACAGCCCTTAAAACTGTCCACAAGACTGTCCATCTTCACTCTTTCTTAGATACCTAGCCAGACACAAATTCTGTACCAAAGGATTTCCAGGCTCAAGAAAATGGTAAAGCCATAGGATGGAAGAAGTGTGTCCTTTGGACTGCTTAAAATAGAGCACCATCCCCTTTCTGGTGACTTGATGACCTATATTCAAATGTGACATCAGCAAAAGCAAACTTTTGGGGAGTGAATATGTGAGATTTGTGAATATTTATACCACAAACATTGCATAATATATTTATTAAAACCGACAACATACCAGCCTAGAGATGACTTTTATTAGTTTATTCATATTTATTATTCTGATACTAAAATTTGCATAAATGATTTAAAGAAAACATACATTTAAAAATTATACCATCAGAATAATATCATATCATGTGTTGAACTGACACAAATTAAGCCCTGCATTTCTCAAGTTATCAATTATCATTTAATTATAATTAGACTTAAACAGGCCTTCTAACTTAAAATTACCATAGGGATATTCTGATGAACAGAAGGCCTAGAAATTAAAAACAAATTCACCCTGCACTGAATTTCCCAAGTGTGAACACAACAGCAAAATCCTAGAAAACGAACCTTCTTGTTGTAGACTAAGATACACAGAAATGGATCATGTCTTCCCAAACATGGTTTTCACTTTCTAGTCAGAAAGAAACAGGAATACGAAGGGATCCCTGAGGCTTCCCTGAAGAATGCAAGAGAAGCCCCCAGTCAAAGGAGACACACCATGCTTTGGACACAGAAGAGAAGTCAATGTTATCTGGAACAATGTAAAGTTGTAGTGCAATCTTAATCACTGTCTTTCTCATTCTACTTGAAAGGATGTTGACCAGCATGGTTTTCAGTTCACCTATAAATACATTCTGTTTGAAAGTATTTTATTGAGAAATTTTGCATCTATGTTCATCTGGGAATTTGGCATATAGTATTTTGTGTGTGTGTTCTTATTGTAGGTGGGGGTTCGGGGTGTGGGTGTATTGTGTGTGCATGTGGTGTCAAGGAAGTGCCAGGGGGAAAAGGAAAGTGGCCATTCAGAGTGGTAAGTGGGAACAAGAGAGGGCAATGAGAGATCAATAAGAGTAAGGCACATAAGCATATATGAAAAAGTCCATAATGAGGCCCATCATTTTGCAATGAGGATATACTAAGAAAGGAAAGAAGGAGGAAGGAAGGAGAGAAGGAAGGAAGAAAGAAAGGAAGGAAGGAAGGAAGAAAGAAACAAAGGGAAGAAAGAAAATAATCACTTATAGACATAGGATGCCAGATAAGGCTAGTTAAAATATTTAAACTGGGATTTTCGTATTACGAGATAGTGTTTTTGCAACCTCCTCAAGAAATCATCCACTCTCAGGGCTTGAATGGAAATTAGACATACCCTTGTTGCTTTTACACTGTAAAGTTCTGTAAAGGGGAACATTTCCATGTCTCAACACTTCAGCAGTTTTTCTTGGCAATTGTCTCTTTGGTAATTCAGGGAGTGGCCTTGTGTTCTGCGCCACTGCGGGGGCGGAGCCTTCTCTGAGCAGCACCTCTGAGTTCTGCCCTGCCAGTCTTGTGGGAGGAGCTGCATTTTACCAGGCTGCAGCTGACAAGAAGCGTCAAGGTAATGTCTGACTTCAATTTATTTTCTAGTGACTTCTCTGAGTTCTGGGATAAAAACTGAAAAAATACTAAGGATGATCTTGGAAGTGGAAGGAACGTTGTGTGATTTTTAAAGGACTGCTGGCATTTTGAGGGCATTAATCCTCTGGAACTTTTGTATCTCCCAGGGTTTTTTAAGTCCAGAGGGGAAAGGGGTGATCAGATTACAGCCTCTAAATTAAGGCTTCAGTGCAGCATGGCCGTTCATGCTAATTTCCTAACTTGGCAGACCTTGTTGATATTACAAGGCGTTGTTATTCTATGAAGTTTCAAACATTTATTCATTTACACAGAAATAAATCTGACAAAAGTATTCAACAACAGTGTATTCATACATCTGCTAATTGGAATGCAGAGAAAAATATGTATATGTTACATGCATATGTGTATAGGAAGCGGATCAAATGTGCAGTTGAGTCAAGACATGAGCACATAATATATTCATGTGTATCTGTGTGGTTGGAAAAAAAGTGACAGAAACTCCTGTGTTAGCATTCAGCACTTCTGGGTAGTCAAGTTGCTATTTTTAATATGTTTAACCCATTTCAATACCATTAAAGTGTAGAGTGCCTCATGATTATTTGTTTAACTATGAAAGCAAAACGAAGCTCAAATGGCATATTCATTTTGTTTCAGCTACATAAACATTCATAAACATACACATATGCTTCCACAATCATACTTATTTTTTCCAGTAGTGGAAATTTTCCTGTATTTGGTCAAATGGGTAGCTTGTTTGATGTTCTAACTATAACTCTGTGTGTATCTTCCCTGCAGTTCATTATTTCAGGCCACATGGAGAGCCCTGGTTGCCAAAAATCATTTTTGTGCATCATCTAATTGTATGGATAAAACAAAATATTTGCTTTATTCCTATAAGCCATTTAAAGAATATTATATAGTATGGTACATGCATACTCTATAGTATTGCATATCTGGTAAATGAAAAACATGAGCATCCACATGAAGTAATTTATAAGTTTCTGAGAAATAGTACCTGATAAAGAAAGAAAATTATGGGACAGTAATTACATATGCTATCTCAATGTATGTATGTTACCACAGTGCATGCAATTAAATCTGAAAAATGCATCTCTAACAAAAATATATGTTATCTGTATAGTTAGAGAACCAGAGATGCCTTTACCAGTCTCTACTTTTAAAATAGTAATTCATGTTTATTTGGGCTTTCTAAAACATCTTCAGGGAAATATTGAGATAAAATATTATAGACTTGGGACAAGCCTCATTTAATAAGTTATATAAAATCATATTGAAAACACTTATTTATATAGAATTATGTTCAAACCATACTCTTGAGAGGGGTTTCTGAACCTGGCTTGAAATAGACATTTAATTCTTCTATGTAAAAATTTTCTAGAAAAAGAATATGCATGGTGGATATTTGTGTCAAGTAGTACTTAACTTTTTATGTGTATATGTATTTTGTATCATTGCAGTTTTAATGAGCTTCTGGATCATCAGAACTACTGTTGTGAAAATGTTACCTTATTTCTATCCTATTTATTTAAAACATTAAATAAAGTATAATTAAGTGTACTTTATTTAATGTTTTAAAATGTGGTACTGGAGATTGAACCCAGGATCTTATACATGCCTGGCAGACACTCTAACACTGAGCCACATCCCAAGCCCTTAAACCCTTATACTTAACATAAAGGATTTTAAATACCCAAGAAGTCTTCTGACTGGTTAGTGCAGTTTCTAACCTTCTCCCATGAGAAGGATCCTGTGTTAAGGCCCTGCCTATATCACCAACAGGCTGCATTTCTGGTTCTGGTTATAAGATGGCATATGTGTGCCAGAAGGCCTGAATTTTCTTCAGGCAACCATTGTTATGAAGCAAGGAAACAAAACAGTGAAATATTTTTAATTAGTGACTGTGAGACAGTGTGCCGTATATAACTGATTCCATTGAAAACACCTGCACGTTTAAATGAGAAATCAACATGATAACTATTATGAAGATTCAGAAAGTCTAAACTGCGATTCATAGTAGACACAAGATAATTTGTTAACCTCTCTTCCCTCATCCCACCTCATACTTTTCTAGAGTGAGATCATTTCAGCATGAATGGTAAGTAATATTTCATCTTGTAGAACATCTACATTAATAATGAGAATTTATCTCATACCCGTGTTTCAAAGTGGCAGCCAGTTAATTTGGGTAGGCAGATTGTTTTTTTTTTTTCAAACACTCCCCTTTGATTGATTTGATTCCCTGTCTTCCTTTTGTACAGCCTTGGTTAATATTGGAGGTGCATGTGGTGTGGGAACTCTGTGTGTGATTCGACTTGAGCACAGAAAGGCTGTGTAACCACATACAAGCCCCATAGGGTGAAAGATCTGTTGGGAAATCAACTGGCTTGAGAGTCAAGATAGTTGGATCACTTTGCAGGACCATCACTGTCCACGTGACAGAGGGTAAGACTTGTCCCATTTCTGGATACACTACACATTTGAAAATATGCTGAGGTCTTAAAGGACACTTGATTTTTGCTTCCTGCTTTCCATCTGTAAGCGTTTTCAACTTAAAAGCAACTTTTGTATTAACATAATTCAGTTGAAAGTTTGAGGCAAGGCCATGTACTCAGCTAACACACTGCCTTTTAGTGTTAATGAAGTAATAGAATCATTTTAGAATGTAGTAGAATTACAGGGTTTTTAGCTCATTCTAAGAATTTCTGAATAAGACTTTGAAAATGGAGCCTAACATTCTATGAGGTCCTCCATATACTCCTCATGATTGCTAAATTTGAAGACTCACTACCACAGATGTAATACTAGGAATACAAAAGTACCAAAGTATCAGATGGCATGAATAGATTCCATAGCATGCTGTACTTCTAGCTATACTGATGTATATTCTTTAACAAAAAAGTAACAGTTCTTGAATTGGGGTTATAATGCAAGTTTATTTCCGTTTGTTACCTCTCTGTCCATTAGACTGCTTTTTTGTCTTTCTCATCTCTCATTTGAACACAGTTCTTTTCAGTTTATCTCTTTTGTCTGCATTTGCTCACCGTCTACTTTGGCAAGATAGTTTTATTTGTTAATAGTGTTTTCCCTATTTCAGTATTTTCCAGAGTTCTCTTATTCAAACAACATGTTCAAGAATTCTGGGGACATATTTGTGGAAGAAAACAGTGCACATAAACTATAGACTCTTTGTGGTTCTAAATCAAAAGAAACTTTAATAAGACTGTTGTGATAGCATTTGAATTTGTAGCCACAAGGCCAACCAATCTTTGTCTGTAACATTAACTACTTGGCACACTAATCTAAATCATAATGGATGGTGAATATGTCCTATGTAATTGGAAAGAACAATTATGGCCAGCAAAAGTCTTATGTAGGTCTGAAATTTCATCAAGCAGTAAAAGGAAAATGGCATTTTCCCTGAAAGTTCAAATACTTTCACTAGATGAGAAAATTACCGTGGACAGCAAAGACATAAAAGTCCTAAGTAAAGCTGAGGTTGAAACCATTGTGTCCTTACTAGCAGTAGAGTCAGAGGTCAGAGTTCCACCTAGGGAAGAGACAGCCTATGAAAGAGCACTGAAAATGGCACTGGAAATCATAAGAGAGCGATCAACTCAGAGCCAAGAAAACATGCCAAATGAAGAGGACACCACTGTAGCATCTGAAAGTGTACCACAACAGCAGGATGATTCACCTCCTCCTAAAAAGTATCGGAAACTTGAAAGCAACCTCCAAGAAGACTCAGCTTCCATATTACTGTGCTCCGAGAGTGATGATTCCCTATCTGATGATAAATTGCAGGTGCGCACAGCCATTGAGAGTATTGCAAGTGAAATGGAAACAAAGTCATCACAAAACTTCAGCTGGTGCCAGACTTACTCTTCATTTCCGGATGATGAGGATGATAAAAAAGAAGAAAAGATAAAGATTGACATGTCAGCATCCATGTCCATGAATTTATCCATCAAAGAGGAAGCTGAAGACATTAAAGAAGAAAAGTTTGTCCCACCATCAGATGATCTCACTGTACCTAAGGAGGAGGCCCAAGAAATCCCCCTAGAGGCACCAACAGTTTCCGCTGAATGTTCAATCTTCCCAGAGAATAATATGGAAGATCCTGGAGAGGGCCCATCAAATCAGAACCCATGCTTCTATGGCAGCCAAACTCAATCTTCTGTGGAATCAGAAATAGGTGCTGAGAGTGCCCTTCCAGGGTGCTCAGGGGAATACCAGGTTTCACTTTCTGCCTGTAATCCAGTCAATAGCGATCTACTACTTCAGAGACTGGATTTAGAAGATCTTGAGGAAGAAGCCCGAGCTTCTGGCAAGCTATTGTCTCTAAATCCTGCTTGTGCAGCTGCATTAGATAATGATGATGAAGATGATGATGATGAAGACCTCCCTCGCTTCATTCTCTGCTATGAGACGCGTGCATTTGAAACCGGAATGATAGTGTGGTTTAAATACCAGAAATACCCATTTTGGCCAGCAGTGATCAAAAGCATTAGGCGAAAAGAGAGGAAAGCTAGTGTGCTCTTTGTTGAGGCAAACATGAGTCCTCAAAAGAAAGGTGTTAGAGTCTCTTTCAGAAGATTGAAAAAATATGACTGTAAAGAGGAAGAGGATCTAGTAGAGAAAGCTAGGGAGAACTACCGTGAAAGTATCGATTGGTGTGTGTCACTCATCTGTGACTACAGAGTTAGACTAGGCTGTGGTTCTTTTACAGGCTCATTCTTTGAGTATTATGCTGCTGACATCAGTTACCCAGTCAGGAAAATAATCAAACAAGATACCTTCAGAAACATATTTCCAAAGCTACACAATGAAGACACAGGGGAGCAAATGGCTGTGACATCCCACGCCAAGAGAATATCTTTCCAGAAAATACTCCCTGACCGGATGAAGCCTGCTCGGGACCGAGCTAACAAGAACCTGGTAGATTTCATTGTCAATGCAAAAGGAACAGAGGACCATCTCTTGGGCATTTTAAAGGGAACAAAAAAATCCAAATGGCTGAAATCATTTTTGAATGCAAAGAGTTTCACACCCTGTATTGAAACATACTTTGAAGACGAAGATCAACTGGATGAAGTGGTGAAATATCTACAAGAAATCTATAAACAAATAGATCAGAAGATGCTAACTCTGATAAAAGATGACAAAATTAAGTTTATCTTGGAAGTTCTTCTACCAGAAGCAATTATTAGCTCAATTTCCGCTGTTGATGGCTTAGATTATGAGGCAGCTGAGGCAAAGTATCTAAAGGGACCATCCCTTGGCTGTAGGGAGAGAGAATTATATGATTCCAAAATCCTATTTGAGAAGAGACGGAGGTCCTTAGCAAATGAAGCTCATTAGTATGCCAAGAGTTGAAACCATAATGAAAAGTGGATAAAAATTTGGAAAAGTAATCATCTAAAATTTCCAGCATGTAAATATTTGCTGAAAATACAGGGAAGGGTCCTTGAATCTAAGTTCTTTTATTTTTTTGAAGATCGGTGTGATCTGCAGATACCACTACATCCATCTTTATTTTCTTGTGCTTTTTCAGAATCAGCTTTGTCAATATATTTTTAGCAGTTTGATTTTCTAATACATTTTAGAATGCATAATTCTTAAGCGATTTTAAGGGAAACTACTATTTTGTTCTATGATATTTTTGTGTCTTTGCTAAATAGGTAAATACTGTATGCACATTCAGTTTGATAAAAATTGCACTGGTGTTAGATTTTAAGCAAGAGAATTAGAAAAGATGTCTAAAACAAATATCAGTTATATATTTTTTGCTCAATTTTGTTTTTATAAAATACTGAGTTTTCTCTTAAGATAGCTGAATTATTTTTCCTGTCATGCCTATTTAATTTGGGAAAAATATCTCTA